AACAAATGTATTATGGCAACAACAAAACAAATTGGATCCAAGGTTCCTATATGCCACTTCTGTAATTTTGGTAATGCAGTGATGTGCTAGTTACTATCCTGTGTTTGCATAGGAATTATTTTGGACAGAGAAACCAGTAACAGATTTATTATTATTTGGTGAGAATGAGACAGAAAAGTTCAGAACACATAGTCCTTTGCTTTGTAACCAAATTGGTTGAAAAAAAGCTAAATTCAATCAATTATGTTCTATATTTTTTTCATTTTTCTTCTATTACATTATCATTAGACTTTTACGGTAGTTAAAAATGTATTTACCAAAATGAATTTATGAACTTACAAAGTGTGAATATGGGATTGTTTGTGCACTCATTTGCTAAGTTTAAAACTTTTCTGTCTGTTATACAATAGTCATCTTTATAAAACACAGATTAGTAATCCAGACTATTCAGGTTTAGTTTCCAGAGTGGGTTTTTCATTAATTTGTCAATTATAGGGAATAAAGAGTGAATTCAAATTGAATTTTACATTTTAGGACAAACAATAACTGAATTTGAAACACTCAGTTATGTTTCAGTTTTGCTGTTTTGGTAAAAAATTGAAATTTACTTTGAATTTAATTTGAATTCTCTACAATACAAAAAAAATATATAATTAACCCGTTTTTTTTTTCAAGTGGTTTACCTAACATATATCTTCGAAGGTGAAAACATAGCTGTACAAGTATGTATGTTTTATGCTCTAGTAAATGATTATTGTTAGGATTATTTAATGAGGTAACGGCAAAGATGAAATTGCTCTTATAATGTCTATCTTACTTTCAGAATGGAGCAATCATGAACAAAGGGACTGGACGTTGCCTTGAGGTTGAAAGCAGGGGAAATGCTGGTATCGATTTGATCCTTAGGAGTTGCACGGGTCAAAGGTGGACAATAAAAAACTTTATTAAATAGGAACAAATCCAGCCAGTATATTGGTTGACCTTCAAACTGCTGTATGTGGAAGAAAAGGAAACAAAGTCTATCTTTCCAAGATGAATAAAACATTTATACACACATTTGCCAAAATTTTCAGTTACATGAAATTCTCCTCTTTTCTTTTAAAGCGGGCGTGGGTTCAGAACTTCATCTTGCAGAATTTAAATTTAACTGCATCCATTATGTTTATTCTTGGGAATTTTTAATGGGCCATTACAAATCTATTCAGTTTGCATGCTTGTTGGTTTGTTAAATTACTTAACGTCTTTTTAGGCTACCACCGAAGTTTCACTTTAATCCCAAAGGATAATTAGCACAAACAAAAACTTTTTATTTCTTGCAGAAAAGGGAACACTTCATGTGCCGTGATGATGTGCAATACATTGTGAAGACATGTATTTTTCACTCATTTGGCATACAAAAGGCTGCAAAATTATTATTTTTTTGTTTTAGCTGAATACTCCAAAAAGGGTCCGCTACAAATTAACAGTTGTCAATGAATGCCATATGTTAAATATTTGCCTGCAATGCTTTTTTTTTCAACTGAAATCAGTCATTCTTTAATAAAAATGTCACATTTAATTTACATTGGAATATGGTATCTCTTGATTATATTGCCGTGTAAGGGACTTTAGGTTCGTGAAAATGATTTTCTTTGTTCTGTTAAGCCATGCCTATTTATTACCATTACATTTCAAACAAGCATGACAAATATATACTGCTAATTAAAATGTCTGAACATGGAGCCATTAAGTGTTGTACTAAATACTTAATGAGTATTTCCCCTTTGATTTTTATTAATTCCCCAGATCAGTTCCTTTTTTTTTTTTTTTTACCAGCAAATTAACAAAAATAAGCAAGGCTATTATGCTCTATTAGACCACAGTTGCAATTATATTACAAGAACTATTGTGCACAGATCAAACTCATTAAGATTAATTTTAGGTTTTGGCACACGTTTGGTAATACACCCTGCAAACAAATTGGATGCTGACTTTTATGTAAATTGGTTTCTTTTTTTGTGTGTGTTAACACACAAAGTAATACTACAGGTGCCTGCAATAATGAAATGATTGTGAAAAATATCACAATAAGGTTACAAGATACACAACTTTTACAAGCATTTCAATCTGATTTATACAGGATCCAAACTAAGCTGTCTATCCCTCTGGTTGTGTGTATTCTTATCTAGCATCCGTGTGAAAATGGGAGGATTAAGAACCCTCAAGTCATGATGTAGAATTTCAACTCATAGGTTTTATTGGTTAAGAATGATGAGAAAAATAAAACATACTTCAAAGGAGTTTGTTATATCCATATTTATAGTTCAACAAAAAGATGCAAAAATATGTATGGACAGGTCTTCATTGGATAATGTATTTCTGTGCAACTGTGTATATGTACATTTGTGGTTGGGGACAAAAGCTGAGAAATAGAGCAAAGTCAGTTGTGGTGTGCCGAAACTGACATTCGAGTAGGCCTGTAAACAAAAAGGCCTACCAAGGTAATTACATGAAAAAGAGGAGAGCTTGATATGAAACAGTGGGTGGGATGGGTCGAGTGGTAACAGCCTAGGTAAATGGGTTGACTGGATTTAAATAGCCAGGTAACCCCTCGTACAACTCCAGGCCAAAGACTTAATATTTGTGGTCCGGGGCAAAAGCCAAGATATAAAGCAAAGTTAGTTGTGGTGTACCGTAACTGACTTTTGGGTAGGCCTGTAAATAAAGAGGGCAAAAAGATTTTCAAAGTGCACATTTTTTTACATCATACAATTTACAAATCCAAACTCTTAAATGCTTTCCTTAACTCTTGCTCTGGCTTAGGTATGTCTCTATTATAAACAGAGGATTTGCAGCATCCTACTCTTTTAATTATATGAACTGGAATATCACTGCTGGAAGCAGCCAATGCTGCACCGATTCTGAGAAATGAAAAGTCTTATGAATAAAGTCTTAATGTTAAATATAAATTTAACTGATTGAGTGGCTTACCGTGCAAAGACAAAATGGGTGTATTCCTGGACAAGCTGTAATTGTGTGACAGTAGCAGTCTAGAATTTTTACTGGACACCAGTTATTGTCAGTGGGATAAAGGGGTATTTTTACCAGAGGGCCCATTTGATTGGTTTTAGTATATCTTAGTAGAAGTACATAATGATCTCATATTTTAATAAGATCATTGATATTTAGACAGCGTGATGAATCTAATAAAGTTTTCATTATAAATTTCTTTGGGCATAAGGAACCTTAAAAAGCTGTATATATGGCTGTCTTAATTACGGTATTGGAGTTTCAAATGGATGATTAATATATCAGAAAATCATTGAAATTTAGGTCCGATATTAGGTTGACATTTGGTGGTTATGGGATGGTCTATTCGTTGTATGCCTATTAGAATGTTTTAAATGGGTAAGTAGGCATAAATGACTTGTGTAGAAAAAGTGCAAGCAGTTCAAAGGTGCTTCAATAAATATACATATAAAAGACAGCAGTATGGAGATGTCACCATCTAAATGGCACGTCAGCCCATATATGGTGGCTATGCCCAGAGATACAAAAGTTCTGGTCTAAAATCTCCAACATCATTCAAGCTATAATCAAGGTCCCCCTAACGCCTGACACATGTATATTTTTAAAACCACCACCAGGAACAAACTGAGACAAGGCCTCATTACTCCTACACCTAGTCACAGCTGCAAACCAGCTAATACCAACACTCTGGAAAAAGCCAAACGCACCATCCATACGCGACTGGATACAGAAATTGGAAACAACAGGGGCATGGGGGAAACCTGCTCCTCATTAACGCACACCTACCACAACTACACACGCACCTGGAGCCCATAGTGCAGATACCTTAGCAACTCCTCATTCTAAATAAGGCCCCAAAATGCACACAACGATAATTCACAACACAGTAGCCCAAAATCAAGGACAGGTAGCAACGGAAAAGACAAGACAATCTAACTAGTAAAATATACAACAGGAAGGGGCAACACATCAACAACAAAAGCGCATACTAGAGATAGAGGTGATGAGAAAATGTGATGACGCCCTCAGTCCCATGTAGGCATCCTTAGGCGCAAAAAAGTAACCTTGCATAGGGGGCCTAAATATCAAGGGGGCGACACCTACCTATCAACACTGGCCACACTAACTTGACACTCAGCCTTCAAGACTGACAACCCACGACTGACGCTTGACTACCGAACCACAAGTGTGGAAAAGACTACTGTAATGTGATAATAGAGGGTACAGGCTGTTAAATACACCACAGGCTGTCAAATTCTTGCAATGTATGTCCCCATAGGATACAATATGTTAGAGGAATCTCTTCAATAAACCAATGTAAAAATGCAAAAAAAATAAAAGACAGCAGTTCAAAATACACACTTTCAAAGGATGACCTCACTCCCTTCACCCAATAGTAAACAACAATAAAAATATGAAGCCTCATAAGGCAAAATGCATTTTGATTGCTACTTAGCTGTTTGGACTACCTTGCAATTTGTAATTTTAGCTGTTTTTATGTTTGTTTGTTTTTTGTATAATAAATCTATTTTGTGGAGCTACAGTGGAAGCATTTGGTCTTCAGATATCCAAGTTCAAGTTGCACAGTTTATGGAAGTGTCACCTCATCATTGACACCCTGTGTATATACCTTAGAGCCAGAGAGAGGATTGGTTCTACATAAGGTGAGGTCTCCACAAACATACCACATTATCACTATATTTCCTTTTAGTTCCTTTTGAGGGTAAATGGTCTGCTGGAAGAAAGGTGGAGTGCTACCTTGAAAGGCACATCTACATATTAAGAGAGCCTTTTTATTTAGACTCCACTTCATGTGGACATGTTATTCCCTATCTCACAATATTTTGTGTTGTTTTTTTTTTTCTCTTTAAACATAATACTGTGAATTTATCTATCCCTATCTATCATGTGTAGTGATGTCCCGAATGGTTCGCAAACGGTTCGCCACGGACTCATCATTGAGTAAACTTTGACCCTGTACCTCACAGTCAGCAGACACATTCCAGCCAGTCAGCAGCAGACCCTCCCTCCCAGACCCTCCCACCTCCTGGACAGCATCCATTTTACATTCATTGTGAAGCTGCATTCTTAGTGAGCTGTCCAGGAGGTGGGAGGGTCTGGGAGGGAGGGTCTGCTGCTGATTGGCTGGAATGTGTCTGCGGACTGTGAGGTACAGGGTCAAAGTTTAATCAATGATGAGTCCGTGGCGAACCGTTCGGCGAACCGTTCGGGACATCACTAATCATGTGGACAAGAGGGTAAGATATCCCACTTGGCCTTTTAATGTTCCACTGCTATTTATATGTGTTGTACTTATAACTATATGAGTGCTACACCTATAATATATTTTTATATATGGTTTGTGATTAGAAAAGGTGCTTAATAAGTGATGTTGAATACTGCTCAGGTAAAGCATTATAGTATAATATGATAGCTTTAGATTAAGGTGGCAAAAACCAGCGAACGCCACCATAGTCTCAATGGAGTAAGATTTATTTATCTAAAAGTCAGAAATTAATCTGGTGAATATAGTCAGAGCTCTATTTTATGTTTTTTGGGTGTTAGCGGATAGGGCAGCTTGTGCCACCAACCTGCTCTGGGCAAATAAATAGGTTAGTCTTGGATGAGGTTTTTGAAGGATGGGGTTTTAAATAGGTGTTTGCTGGCAGTCGGGTTGAGTTTAAAGAATTCCTGCAAATTAAACAGGAGAGATAAAACTGATATGAAGCTGCTAGCCATGTTAATTGCCTAATCATCCTCATGATTATTAAAGATGAGGACCGGCCCTTGTTAATTATTTCACAAGCTGCCATGTTTAACTGCTTACCCTTGCCAAAAATTTCCCCATGTATGAGCAGCTGCTACAATGGGATAGACTTCAGAGAGGGCTGAGATCTCATAAAATAATGGTAGGTTAATGGACTCAGAGGGCCATATGTCTCTGAGTCACATGTTGTCAAATATAGCTGCAAATTCAGTATGGACTGCAGCATGACTGGGATTGGTCTGTCAAGAGGCAATGAACATGGACTTTTCATTCCAGTTAGGTAAAAACTTGTGCCAGATGTTCAAATCAGTCCAGGCTCGAAATCAAAGGATGTCCTAAGATAGTATTAAAGGATTAATGCTGGATATGGCTACTGGCCTAGGGGAGCCTAGAGGTCAATGATCATTCTTTTCTTATTGTTTTAGCCTATGGCAATACCTATAGAACTGGTGTGCCAACATGAAAAGTGGAGATGCCCTATAACATTCAAACACAGAAAATTGCAAATGTGAATGTGTATATATAACCAAGGCCAAGTGATAGCCAAATGCCCTTTTCATTAACATAGAACGTTGCGAATGTACGCGTATTAAAAGAACCAATTAATACATGTAAATGTCGAACGTGGGCTGAATGAGCACCGTGATACCTTGTAACTCTAGTGAAACCTCTTAAATTGATTTGTGCTATGGTTGACCAGAAATGTAGAGGGCTGTCATCTCGAAATCCTGCAGATTGTGGATGAATGAGGCCTGCTTTGTGGAGCAGTGTTTTGAATTGCGGTGGTAGAGGAGAATTCTTGTGCCTTGTGTCCTGATCTGGAACTAGAAGTAGCGAGGTAACTGATATCGAACCGAATTGAGTGGCTACAGCCAAGGTAAGGAAGTTGACTTGATTTAAATAGCTGGGTAACCCCTCCCACAACTCCAGGCCATAACCTTATATATATTACACACTATATATGTATATATATATATATATATATAAATAAATATATATACACACACACACATTTTTAAATAGTGAGGCCATTAGGCTAAATAGGTCTACTTTCTGGTTATTAAACTGATAGGATGCCTTTCTGTTTGAGTACAGTTGTACATTGAGAGCATTCATGAATAAATGTAGGTTCCCCCATATGTTGTTGACATCCTCTATTCTTCCTTCTTTTGCACACCTTCAAGGCAGATAGAGATCCATGATTGCAGTTCTCATTTATCTAATAGGAGGACAAAGAAATTTGTATCTGTATCTGCTCACTTTGTTACTCTGCCCTTTTGATAATGACAGTAGGATAATATGTCATATTCTACAATACTTTATTTCTACAAGCTTGTACCATAAATGTGATAAAGGCAAACATTTCTTATTCACCAGAGAACAAGGAAATCACAGAACGGTAGGTTGTGCAGAAAGACCCTCCCTGGACTGACAAGGAAGGGGGGGACATAACTGATACTAAGTTAAGGGGTGGGAATAAGAGGGATACAAGGTAACAAAATGGACTGCCTGATATATAGACAGTGAGGGGAGGGGACTTACCAGTCAGCATTGAGAAAGTGCAGGGACCCTGACTTTATTGCCTCTTCTTCCACCTGCTGACACTGTTCGCTGCAAAAAAATAAAATAAAATATGATATTATTAATAGATTTCTTCAACTAGCTGTGTTCCTGCCCGTTTCCCAGGAGACGTTGGTGGCCCTGCTGCAGTCTTACCAGGCCGCACACGGTGCGGGCTCGCTGTAAGCGGTGCTCGCCGGTGTGGAGTGTGTCCGTAGAACGGGAGCTACCCCGGGTTCCAGAGAGGCGTCGGTGCCCACAGATGGTGGCCGGCAGGCCAGGCGTTCCAGCCCGCCCTCGCGCCTGTCTCCCAGCCCGGTGAGGAGAGGAGGAGATGGCTGCAGGAGCAGAAGAGTGGAGGAGGCTGGCGCACCAGGGCCACTCGTGGGGATGCTGCAAGGCTCGGCTAAGGAGAAGGGCTGCGGTCGGAACCGGCAGCCAGGCCCAAGATGGCATTTCGGCGGGAAGATCTCGCAGTCCCCCTTCTCTTCGCAGCCGGAAGTGACGTTAGGACGTCGGGACGCAGCGACGCCGGAATTGAGGGCAGCAGAGGGGGCCACAACATACCCAGAAGTGGACGCCCACACCAGAAGTCGCATCAGAAGCCGTCGGACGTCCACCTGGAACCGGGATGACGGCTCAGGACTGGGATGGCGCACGGGTGCCGCATCTAGGGCGGCAGTCCCAAGGAGAGCAAGCCAGGATGCCGGCGGTCGGGAGACAGTGTTGGTTACAATGCCCCTGGGAGCTGGGAGGCTCCAGGGGGACTTGGATGACAAGAACTCAGAGGAGGAGAGAGCCGGTGGTGAGGAGATGGGACCAGTGCACCTGCAACAATTTGGTGTGTTGGCCTGCGTTAACTCATGGGGTCCTGCTGGGGGGTCTGGGCTCCTGCGAGGTGCTGCGTCTGCTTAGGTTGTTAGTGGGCGGGCAGGCCAAGGGTAGTGGGACAGGGGCTATAGGGCAGGTTTTCTCTAGTGGGCAGGGGATTAGGAATCCCTGGGAGGGGGCGTATCGTCCATGTCTCCCTGGGTGTGAGTTGTCCCCTTTAGGATTGCATGTGCCGGCGGATGTCCAGGACAGAATTGTACGAGGTGAGTTTGTGGATCTCCTTTCACTGGTGCCGCCAGACAAGGAGTCGGTGGACAGACCATGGCGTGGCGAACAGTTGGAAGGGGAGAAGGGTAAGGCAATCCTGTGTACATTCGGTAATTGGTTGCAGGGATTTAACATCTTTGCAAGTATCATAGTGCGTTGCTTCCCTGAGCGGGCCCCCTCGTTGTTCGGTTATCTTGATTTGGGGGGCATACAAAGTGTATGGCGGTCAATGCTGGTTTAAATATTGTTACGACCTGCTGTGGTTATGGTACTGTGGTCTTCTATTCCTTCCCCAATAGCTGAGCATAAGTGATTATAACTGCAGTAGGAGGTAGAGGAATAGTGTAGATGAATGCAGCTTCCAACATGATTCTCCCCAGCAAATAGAATATTCCCACATGAGCCTAGACTTCATGAAGGGTGTAACAGGAATGAATTTTATTGATGACACACTGGCTTTTATGAGAAATCCTCCTGCAGGAGGACCTCCCACAGTAAACAAAGACAATAACCAATCAACATACAGCTTAACAGTAACCCCCGCCCTCTCTCTGCCTGGGAGATATTGAGATAAGTTAAGGAATAACCCAACTATCTCCAGGCAGAGGGCACACAATTTCCCCAAAAGTTAGAACACCCCTTACCACACAAGGTATCCCCACAAATTAGCCCCGATCTGGGGACCAACATATCCTAATTTCACCCAGATCGGTTCAGGGGTTCTTAAAAAGTATGGAAGTCACAAGTTACTGACCACACACGAGGCTCCTGCCCAAAACAGTTCCACGAATTATGCGTGTGCGGTCGGTCAATTCAGAAAAAGGCATAAAACTAATAAAAGTCCCGAATGGATCCTCCTGTCTCATAGGAGCGATTGCTCCCCTTGTCAGTATGAACAAAACTACCAAATGGCGCTCTCCTGGCTGTTCGGCAACTACAGGAAGCAGGCGTTCGGTAGTTTCAGTGGTGGTTTGGGAGGTCAAGTGTCCGATTTTAGTTCCAGACACTTGACGACCCAGTCCCGCTGCCTCCTTTCTCCTTGCAAACAAGATGGCCTCCGTTTTCTGTTCCACGTGGCATTCAGCTATACGAACAGCGGCCGCCCAGAGAGGGCTTAATAGATGGTTCTTTTGAAGTTAATGAGCCAGGAGGGTGGTCGGTGTTCGGTAGTTTTAAACTACCGAACCAATAGATTCAACATGCACAAAATACTGCAGAAAAGGCCCGAACATAGGAGAAAATACCGAACTAAGTCTATTCACAAATATGACCAGCAATTCCGACAAAAGATGGCAGTGTGCCCGGGCATGGATTTTGGGGTGCAGGATGGCAGCCTGTGGCTGCTACTGATGACCCCATGCCGTCCATCTCACTTTCCAGGACCTGCCGGCATACCCATCGGTACGTCGGCGGGTCAGAGAAAAGAAGTCTGCTGGCTCTTCAATGAGAGCCATTGTAAGTGGTTTAGCTCCTGCAGATTCCAGCACAAGTGTGCCCACTGTGATGGAGCCCATCCCGCGCTATGCTGTTTCCGAAAGGGCAGACCCTCCGTCGCAAAGGGCGTTCTCGCGAGAGGACGCCATTGAACGCAGAAAGGATGCACCCGTGGCTCAACAGGTACCCTAAATGGGACGTCGCGGTCTTGTTGTTCGACGGGTTCACGTTAGGTTTTTGGATTCCTTTTGTGGCGTCAGACGAGGGTCAGTTTGCCACGTGTTCTATTCGGGGTAGGGAG